CAAGTTTATTTGAAAGTAAACGTTTTACATAAACTTGACAACCCCAAATCTTCACAAAAGCTAGACTAGGAACCTTTCCTGTCCATATCTCATATGGTGTCCTTTCTGTAGCCTTTGTTGGAGCCCTATTGAGTATGAATGCAGCGGTTTCAAGAGCGTAACCCCAGAAAGAGATTGGTAGTTCAGCGAGACTCATCATGGAACGGACCATGTCTAACAAGGTCCGATTTCTCCGTTCGGACACACCATTCCATTGTGGTGTACCTGGCGGAGTGAGTTGTGAAACAATTCCACATCCTCTTAGATGATCACTAAATTCCTGGCTCAAATATTCACCACCTCGATCTGATCGAATGGCCTTAATTGTTTTGCCAAGTTGATTCTGAACTTCATTCTGGAATTCTTTGAACTTTTCAAAAGCTTCATGTTTATGCTTCATTAGGTACACATAACCAAACCTACTGAAGTCATCAGTGAATGTTATGAAGTACTGAAAACCTCCCCTGGCCATTGTTGACATTGGGCCACATACATCCGAGTGTATGAGGTCCAATAAACCGTGAACTCTTTCACCTTTACCAGTAAATGGTGACTTGGCCATTTTACCCAATAAACAAGATTCACACTCCTCGATTGATTCAAAATCAAAAGAATCAAGAAATCCACTAGAATGGAGTCTTTTAATGCGCTTCTCGTTTATATGGCCTAGTCTACAATGCCAAAGGTATGTTGGGTTTGAGTCGTTAGATTTAAACCTTTTTGTATTTATGTGATAGATGGGCATTTCAAGGTTTAGAACATAAAGTCCATTTATGAGACTAGCACTACCATAACAGATCTCATTAAAATAAATAGAACAAATGTTGTTCTTTATTATAAAATGAAATCCTTTCTTGTCCAAACAAGAAACAGAAATAATATTCCTGCTAATGGCAGGTACATGATAACAATTATCAAGTTCTAAAACTAAGCCCGTGGGCAAATTCAAAGTAAATGTCCCTATTGCTAATGCTGCAACTTTTGCACCATTGCCTACTCGTAGGTCAACTTCACCTTTAGCCAGCCTTCTACTCCTTGTTAGTCCCTGCACATTTGAACAAATGTGAGAACCACAACCGGTATCCAATGCCCATGAAGTAGTGGTAGTAACATTTACTTCTATCACATAGATACCTGAATTGGAAGCATCACCATGCCCCTTCTTTTTCAGTTCCTCCAAATATGCCTTGCAATTCCGCTTCCAATGACCAGTTTTGTTGCAGTGGAAACATTTTTGCTCTTCTTTAGAAGAAGAGCTAGCAACCGATTTGCTTTTACCCGAGTTCTTAACCAGAGTTTTGGATTTATTGTTTCCACCAACCTTGCCATTACCATGCTTCTTGAATCCCTTCCCCTTTTTGACCATCAAAATGTCACTCCGATTTTTCTTGATGTTTTGCTCAGCAGAGTTGAGCATTCCATGCAATTCGGTTAAGGTCTTCTCAAGACCATGCATATTATAGTTCATGATGAACTGGTCATATGCCGGAGTGAGTGATGCGAGAATCACATCAGTAGCCAACTCTTGACTAATTGGAGATCCAAGTCTTTCCAGGTGATCCCTAAGCCCAATCATCTTGAGCACGTGAGGTCCAACCGGGTTTCCATCAGTAAGCCTTGTGTGAAACAAAGCTTTGGTCGTCTCGAACCTTTCGATCCGTGCTTGTTTCTGAAACAAGTTCTTGAGTTCATTAGAGATGTCATGTGCACGACGATTCAGAAACTGTTTCTGAAGATTAGCTTCCATGATGGTTAACATCAGACAAGTGACATCAACTTCATCACGGACATGCCTTTCATAAGCATCTCTAATGGCTCTAGCAGCATTGGCCGCTGGTTCAGCAGGAATTGGTTGGTCAAGGACATATTCTTTACGCTCTTGTTTGAGAACGATTCTCAGATTCCTATCCCAGTCCATGTAATTTGTTCCATTAAGTTTTTCCTTCTCAAGGATAGATCGCAGCGAAAAAGTTGTGTTGGCAGCCATATTTACTACAACAAATAATGCAAAGAATTTTTAAATAATGCTCAAAAATTAACTCCCACTATATTAAATAGAAAGTCCCAAATATAGTGGTCCAAGATCCATATTTCACTAAAATTTAAGTAAGCTTTGGCTTATCACTTAAAAATTAGTTATTTAGGTAAACAACTCTTGTTAATCATATCCTATATGACTCTTGGTTTGTTTGGTCAACATCATATGATTATCCAAACACTCTTTGCTTCAAGGCCCAAAACCATTTTGATGGCCTTGTAAGTCCAAACCAATATTAAGACCCGAGAATGACGATCATTCAAAACATCTTCCTAAGATAGTGTGAAATGCTCTGCTTTGGCAGACACATATCACGACTATCATAGTTTAAATGGTGGTCATATTGGGAAAGCAATTTAGACTTATAATTAGTCGGGACTAATAATTACACACATGCAACAATCAAATATTTAAATAATAATTTAAAACTAGTGTAGTGATATAGCATGATCCCAAAATCTTCATATCTCCTTGACATCTTCAACCTGTGTAGTGTACTACTAAAAATCTACGGGGTTGAAAAACATTACAGGGGATGGTGGGAAACGGCACGCAGGCCGTAAAACAACATAATATAAAACATACATTCAGATCATGCTATACCACCACTTCAAACTGTCCCTGTGACGGAGCAAAATAATTGCGCATGCACGGATTGAAAATTAAATTTTAAAAATCCGCAAGTAATATGTAATTAATTCGGATCTCATCCGAAAAATAAAATACATATTAATGAATTCTAAAATAATTCGTAATTTATATGCAAATATACAGATCATATCCGTAACATAGATTAATACACATATATAACTACGAATAAAAAGAAAAATATAATGAACCAAACTTCGAATTATTAGTTTTCTAATCCGTGATTAAATTCCAATCTCTTTTGAAATAACACAGATTCTGAATGATAGCCTATAGATTAATCCGTGATTAAATTCGAAGTTCCCAAATAACATATCCGTAATATAGATCAATTCGAATATGTTATAATGTGGATCTCATCCCAACTAATTTTGTATTCTCGGATCTCAACTAATTTGGCAGAACGCTAAATTTGTAAAATTGAATGAATATGTAAAATCAATTCGGATCTCATCCGAAAAACAAGAAGCTAAAACTTCCATGATTAGGTCTAAATATAAACTAGATCTAATTCAATCTTTTTATTGATTTCAAAATTTGGAAATCTAAATATACCACAATCCCAATGTGATACGAAGCAATAAATATTGAATTAGAAGTTGAATCAAAATCCGAATTTTGCAATCATATATAAAGCAATAAATTGATACGAAGCAATACTAGTTATATTCGAAATTAATATATCATACGTATCAAATACGTATATCACATACGTATATCACATACATATATAATTCATACGTATCAAATACGTATATCGCATACGTATATAATTCATACGTATTAACAGTAATATCGGAATCACATACTTAATTAATATACGAAATTAATATATCAATAATTTCGAAATTAATAAAAAAATTAATTCCGAAAATAAATCCCAAAATAATCAAATTATAGATTATACATCAAATCGTGTAACCCGCGTATAATAAAGAACCGTAGGCTCTGATACCACTGTTGGGTTTCGGGCAGAAAAACGCAGCGGAATAAACAAAAAATTTTCTACCCAAAAGTAAATGAACGGATCTGAGGTTCTTATTATAAACGAAATTACAAGAATTTAAGAGGGACTTACATAGCAATCTTAATCAAGGATGTCAGACAGTCCGAGAAAACGATCCCGAGCTCTACCGGTATCCACACGCACGTGACTGGATCGGCCGCAGGGAACGTGCTAGCGTTCTCTTCTTTCTTCCTCTCTACTCTAGGTTTGAGAAGTGAATTTTAACTCTTAAAATTCGTGGGTCTCCTTAGCCCTATTTATAAGAGGTGGAAAGAAGGAGTTTTATGGCTAATAAAACCCTTAAAGAGGCCCTAGCCCAATACCATTCGAAACCCTCTTTCGAATTGGGCTAATCAAGCTATTTTAATGTTATTAACAAACATTAATGATCCAAATCACTTAGGTGTGTGACCCTGTAGGTTTATATATTATTGGCAGTGGGCTAGAAATTAATTCGAGCCTCACAAATCATAAGCGGTCTCTAGCAAGGCATTATGACTATCCAAAATATATAAATGTCAATTAAATCTGACATAACCTTTTAATGATTAATTTGTGCTAATAATTCTCTTTTGTCAAACGATATCTTAATTGAGACAAGGTTAGGTCGTGTCATCCTTGTTATTCTCAATTAATATTTCTCGATTACCAAGTAAGATTAATCTTGATCAAATGACACCTCATTTGAGCATGGCCATGCTAATTAATCTTACTTGTCAAGGGGCCCAATAGATATCTTTCTCTCGATGTACAAGAGTGACAAAAACTATCTTGATAATTCACATACTACTACATGGTTCATAATATGTACAATCACCACCTTTATAATTATCCAGTTAAAGATAACATTTAATGGTGTTAATACATATTAATTCTCATGCTAGTAACCATGATTATCTCAAGTATAAGAATATAGCACCTCATCATTATTGAGGACAACACTGATGACATATAACCTAGCAGTGTCCCCAAGTTGGGTCTGTCCAATGAACTTGTTCCCTAACAAGTATCTATGTTATTAACTTGATATCTCTATACCCATGACTAGTGGAATATAGCCATCAGTTAATCCACATACTGGTCTATTAATTATTAATGTCCCAAATTAATAATATTTGACCAGGGACAATTAGAATATTATGTTTATTTTAAAGTGTAGCATTCCACAATTAAGTCACATACTTAATTAGCTACTAAACAGAATATTCAGGGACTAAATATTAATAAAGAAAACTCACAATAATAATTAACATAAAATGAGTTTGCAACTTTATTAATTAATGAGCATTAAATATTTATTGATAAATCATAAACTATGATTGTCCTAGGGCATATTTCCAACAATTAGAACTAAATAATCATCATGCAATGCTAAAGCAAAAGGCCAGTAATTAAAATAAAATAAAATATTTAAACGTAGCACCATATGCATTGGCTACTACAGTACTACTACGCATTCAATATTTCTAGCTAGTGATCTAATTGGTTTAGTACTCTTGAATTGGTATGCTGAAGTCCAACACCAGATCTCAACATGGTAGCTTCATCATATGCACCTAAGCAAAAGATAATTATGGATTAGGCACTTTATTTGTTGTTGTTTCATTATTCTTATGTGCAAAACATATATAAGAAATCATTTATTCGTGTAACAATATGTAAGAAGAAAAGCTAACCTCTAGACTAATTGTGCTCTTCTTGAATGCAAAGACCTCATTACCGCCCACTTCTCTATCTCACCTTTACGTAATATGTAACCTCAGGAAGAATGGCTCGTCACCCAGACACCCACATATATGGTTGGCTTGAAAAAATACCAGAAAGAATTGATGTTAGTGAAGCATTATGTAGTTGTTTGTATATTTATATTGTTGTGTTTTCAAAAGCAAGACGATTCGATCAGCACCGCAATAGACATTTAAATACTTCGTACCATAAGTGATATTGCATTGGAGTTTTATCCTAGTGATGAGATGCGAACAACAAAACACTTATTTATATCAAATTTGAATTGGAATAGCAAAAGGCAAGTGATAATTATGGCTCAGCAAATGTTGTAGTGTCCACCATTAATGCTACGACACTGCTGCAGCACTTTGGGGATGTCAAAAGACTCCTAAGGACTTGTTCCGTATTAATGTTGCAACACTTTGAGAATACAAATATTTTACATTAACGCACCATTTTCCAAAAAAAAAAAAAAAAAAAACAAACGGGATTACTCCAAATCTGTTCACACTTCCCCTCCAAATGCTTGCTGCCACTTTTACGTTTTAATATATACTAGTATACTACCCGTGCGATGCACGGGGAAATAATTTACATAATGTATGTATAAATGTATAATTGATCGGTTGAGGTTACAATGTAAAATATAGCATTATAAGCCGGCGTTGGGTTCAAATGTTTTAAATTGAATTTATTATAAGAAAATTCTTAATCCCATTTTATTTAGTTGTGGAATAAGTTGAGAAAAAAGTTTAAGAGATTGAAAAAAACCACTAATATTATATTATTACTCTTGGAAAAGTGGGACACAAATGTGATATTGATAATTTTAAGTGATCATAATTGTATTCAAAGTTATTATAGTATAGTTATAATAAGTAAAGTTATTTGAATAATGTAATCGAATTAATCAGTAAAAGTTATTAAATTATAATAGTCGGTAAAATATAAACTTATCACAATTATAATAGTCAGTAAAAGTTATTATACTCTGGAGTATAATATAAACTTTGAACACAATTATATTCACTAAAAGTTACTAAGTCATATTTTTGCCAATGACTTTTGAGTAATATTTTAGAAAAAACATCGAACAGATTATCACTTAATTAATATACGGTTAAATATATTTTTAATTTAACTGACAGTCACAGACCATATTAGACTTAAATAGAGCAGAACAGATTACATCAAATGAGACTTTGAAGCCCATGAACCATACACTATAATATTTGAATCTAATTAAAAACATCTTTTTTCTTGTACTATCTAATGGTCGGGTGTTATTAACTAAATACCACCTCCTTCTCATTCAAAGGTTTCAAATCACAACTCACATGGTCAACTTATATCATTCTTAATCTTTTGCTTTATATATCAAATTTTTATCAAATATACATTTTTATCAAGCTTTGTAACGGTTTTAATGTAGTTTTTGAACATGTAAATTTTGATTACTAAAAATAATCGGAGTGTGAACAGAGATCAAGTTGCTTTATCGTTAATCAAGCATAGTAAACCGAATCGGGAACCTCTCTATGGGATGGAGGGAGTAAACACTACAATTTGTAGTACATTGGGAAAGAGCTATGATGTTTTTACTTGGACTGTAATTTGCTCGTCTAGTCTAGTCTGTTTAAGTCTGGTCTGATCCGGTTGGTTTGAGTCAGGTCGGGTTTGATCTGAACTGATGTGATCTGGTCTGGTAAACGTCTGTTTTCTGTGTAAATTATAACTACGGAAATCAAGTCTAGTCTGGTTTGGTCAATTTAAGTTTGTCCGGTCTGATATGGTCTGTTTAAGTCTGATTTGGTCTGGGACTGAAAACAGTCCACGTAAAAACATCCCTAATCTTATAGCAATTTATTTAATATTCCCTTGGTCTTTATAATTTTGTCAAGTTTCTCTTTTTAATTGTCCCACTAATTTTGTCATTTTCTCTTTTATATAAATAGTTTCTGGTTTCGGTTAATCCACTGTTCTTGACACATGTCTTAATCACACATTTTTTATTTTATTATTCCACGTAAAGTCGTATTTAATTTGTTAAGTAGTGAATTGTACGTAGTAGTTTTTTTATTGCCACCTTTTTTATATATCGGTACATATATTTAATTCAAGGGCAATCTATCAGACAATTTTTTTAACATTTTAAGATAGTATGTATTTTTGTCAAGTACATTTTTGTCATTTTTTATATAGTGTTGAAATTTTACCAATAGTTTTTCTAATGAGGCACACGATGTGCTTTCCATATTCAAATCTCAATAATGCCCAAATTATTGAAATTGAAGAGATTGCTGTTTAATGGATACAATTTCTTTTGCAAGCATTTTTCCATTTTGAAAATTATAATTTTAAGATATTTTTAAAATGACCTCAAATTGTTTAAAATTTTGAAAAACTTCTTTACAAATATGATCTTATAGGAGAGATTGAAAATGACCTCACTCGTTGGAATAATTTAGCATAAGTGTAACTTTTGCGGTTCAAAAACCAAACTCTTAATTAATAGCATCTGTAGATGTGAATGATCAATGATTACAATATAACCCTTCAATATATTGATCATGTATGATCCATATAAACATCCAAAGGAGACATTTACATGCTTACCTGTTTTTGGAATGAAAACAACTTTTACTTTCCGATGCATAAAAAATAGAATGAAAACAACTTTAAAATGTACGCAATAACATTAGACATATACTCCGTATGTAGTCAAGAAATATACAATTCATAGTTTTAAAATATCTATATACAAGGTAAGTTGTCCAATATTTATATCTATATATACAAATATATACAAATACTCCATATGTAAAATTTTCTCCAATTCGTTGCTTCTCTGTATGCGTATTTATAAAGATATAAATATGTGAATATGGTGGGATCTATAACAACAGCAGGCAGCAGCTCTGACTACAAAAAAAGAGACCGTCATCTATGTCGGCAAAACACCTAGACCAGGACATCTACGAACAGAATGATTAGAGCGACGATTCAAGAGACCAGGAACACCAGCAACGACGACTTTTTGACTCCAGACTGCCACCCGATTGAAACTCAGGGAGGGCGGCGATGGGATTCGACGGCGATCTGCGGACAGAGGCAAGGTAGAGCAGAGAACCAAACACGAGTAAAGACCGATTGAGTGCGCAGGAGAATTTTAATACGTTTCTAACCCAAAACGGCACCGTATTGGGACCGGTATACCATGTGCATGGTATACCGGTCGTACGGTACAATTTGCCTTTCAAGTGTGAGCATCCCGAGCAACCTCCTAAGATAGAAACCACGCCGACTCGTCGTCCCTATCAACATGATGGTGCCATCAATTCCTTCCCAGCAGCGGACGACCGAGCGAGAGAGAAGGCGAACGGAATAGAAGCTGCTGCCAGCCTCCATTGTCGTCTGTGCACCACCTGGGACTGCTGCTCGACAACGGCGGACACAGAAATTTTTGACATGCGGGGCGGCAGTGTACAAAAATACATATAAATACACACACACACACACACACATATACTAAATGTTTGGGATAAATATACCTAGAAGATTTTTTTTGGGAGAGGCAGCGGTCCCCATTGCCCTGACCTAAATGATGAAAGAGGCGCAACTGCTCTGATTTGGATGAAACATTGACTAAAATACCCCCAACCTCCTTCGATTCATTTTCATACTATCTACCCTTAGTGGTCTTTTATCAAGTTAAAATTTTACCCTTTAAATATGAGTCTTGCTGATCAGAATGGAAAAAGCCATTACAGTTGACCCATTTACATCGCAAATTATACCGTGGGATGGGTATACCATGCGCATGGTATACTGATCCCCATACAGTGTCAGTCCAATTATAAGAAACAACGAAGATCAAGATTCTCTCGCCTAGTTCTCAACCCAACCATTTCCAAACCGGATGCTTCTACTACTTTCAAGGAGACAACCTCACCAAGAGTGTGCTGCCGCCCATGGGGACGTTGCGTGGCTCAGATCAATGAACCCTCTGTGCATGGGGAGGAGGAGATCGAGTACTTTTGACGCCGCCAATGATGTCATGCCCGACTGCTTACAACTACTCCGCCATAGCCATGTGCGAGGTCAAGGAGAGGACCAATTTTGTTTATCCGTCGCTGCTATGAAAATTTGAGGCTCATCATGAGAGCACACTGCTTCTTTAGAGTTTTTGAGACAGAGTTACACCTGGGACAACGATTAGATTTCCGATGCTTTAAAATAATATGGCAACAATTTGCTGGCAAATATGCTATAGCTGGATGATTGGCTTTATGACTTCTTAGGGAATAGTATTGGCTCTTTTGAGCGTTTCAATAAATAAAAAAATCAGGCTTGAGTTACATTTCAAATACACCAGAATTACATTTCGCTTTGGCTAAGTTACATTTTGTAACACCTGATTTACATTTCAACTTTTCTCAATAAGTACATCTTGCTTACACGTGATTTACATATGTCATAATACAACTTACACAACAATGCAATGCAAGTTACACAAGAAAATAAACTCTTGCTATTTAAACAAAAATAAGTTTTGTAAATAAAGATCACTTTTAATGGCCCTAATATTAAAAACAAAACATATACAAAATTTAAGTAAAATTATTGGATAATTAGACTCCTTTTTCATTATTTACATTGAAATCAATGTAAAATTTATCATATTTGTGTATGAATATATTTTTTAAAAGTAACACGTTTCACATTTATACACCTTTTTGTAATTTTTTTTATAATCATACACTTTCAGACTAAAATATTTTGTAGCATGTTTTTTGTGTTACAAAGACATTAAGTTTGTTTGTTTCGATTTAAATTTGAACAAAAACATAAGATTACATTTTTCATGTGTGTGAGTATGTGTATAGACAGTTTCTATAGTTACATTTCATACTATATGGAGTTATATGTTTTGATGCACGAGTTACATTTTTTTTTGCGTAAGTTGCTTCTTTCTATGCGTGGGTTACATTTAGGCTTGCTCAACAAGTTACATTTTGCATACACCCAAATTAGATTTTCCTTCTAACGCGAGTTACATTTTCCATAACACGAGTTACATCACAAAATAAATCCCTTTTATTGAACCAAAAAACAAATCCTTTTTTATATCATTTTTTTACAAAAAAAAAATGATTTAAAACATTTTATGGTCTTAATATTAAAAACAAAACATATTAACTATTAAGATAAAGTAATTAAGTATTTAGACTCCTTTTTTTATTGTTTACATTGAAATCAATGTTTTAGACAAGTACACACGAGTTACATCGTTCTACTACTGGGACAATGGGAAAAAAAAGTATTGTTCACATGTGAACAATAATATGCGGATTTTTCCTGTGGGAGCAACATGCTCACTGTGGGCTGCTCCCACGGTATAACAACTGCATTTAGATAGTTTTTACTTTTTAGTTAGAGTTTTTTAGATTTTGGGCGTGTTTGGCATTCATCGGTTAGCGGATAGCGGATTATGTTAGTGGGTTGTCAATAGCGGATTCAATCGGCGGGTTTGATTAGCGGAATAAATTTGGCGGGTTGTTAGAAGATGTTTGGTAATTTAGCTGTTTGCCCATAACATTAGTAGAAAACTCCATTTTTCAAAACGTCAACTCAAAACTCTCATGTTAGTAGCGTTTTCATTTAAGCGTTTTCGTCTAAAAATTCTAGTGCCGAATCACTATTTACCACACAGTTTTTTCACCTATTGAAAACGCTGAAAGTGGTCAAACCGCCATTTTTCTTACCAAACACCCCATTTATCTATCTAGATTTTAGTGTAGAATTGTAGAGATTTGTCCTCTAAGATTTTAGTGTGATGATATTTTTCTACATCTTCTACTTAGTTAAATCAAAGTTTAAGTCTTTAGTTTTATTTAAGCACTTTTATTTGTATGTTTTTTTATTTTATTTACAATGCATGAGTAGTTAGTTAGGTTAGTGGGTTGTTTGTGTTAAAGTATCTATCTCACACCGGAAAACTATAAAACAATAAAACACTATATAAGACTTTGGCTACTCCTATCAGGGATGACATTTTAGGATGGAACACAGATCTTAATAGTTTGGAGCTTATTTTTATTTGATTGGAATGTTGCGTGATTAGTATTGAATTTTATTGCCTGAAATGCCTCAATGACATTAATTAATGCAATTTTTGTTGGACATTATCGTATATTAAATTATGTAACATTTATTTTCTTGTACAAAGTTTGTACGTACTAGCTTAGGTTCAATATAAGGATAGGATTTGTGTCATTATTATCTTCCTTATTTTGTTGTGAGTGGGTAGCGTATGCAACTCCTTTTTTGTTGTATGTCAATTGTATATAAGCAGGCATCTCGTTCATGATGACCATGCGTGAATAAACTTATTATTCTCTCAAATTTGTTTCCAATTTAACATGGTATCAGAGCAGTGATTTGGGCACCTCCCATTCACGCACGAACAACAACGACATGGCCGGAGATGCAGCAAACAACGATGGAGACGGCCATTACGAAAGGCAGAAAATTAACGATCCGTCATCTCCCTACCATTTGTCGAATTCAGACCATCCTGGTATGACTATTTGTAGTGGACGTGGAACGGCGCACGCCATGCACGTGGGAGAATACCGTGAAGCCAAACCAGTGTTGCACGAGAACAAAGAGACCAACATGCACAAACCCGGGTTCACGGATGAGCAATGGCAGTCCTTCCTAAAGCTGATGGAAAAGTGTAAGACCACACCTACGAAAGAAAAATTGACAGGTATGAAAATTACCGACGAATGGCTTTTAGACCCCGGAGCGTCCTATCACATGACTGGAGATCTAAATATGTTAAAAGGAAAAACAAAGATAGCTCCAGTGGCAGTAGCATTACCAAATGGAGTTGTAACTCAAGCCACTCACGTAGGACATGTTCTGATCAGTTCGGCACTCACACTGATGGATGTCTTGCTCGTGCCTGGGCTACAGTGCAATTTAATCTCCTTAGGACAATTAATTGATAACCGAAAATGTGATATATTTTTTACTAATGATTTATGTGTGATACAGGACCTACTTACGAGGACGCCAATTGGAGTGGGTGAACGTCGAGGGGGAGTTTATTATTTCCGGAGTCTGGATCGTGGATTAGTGCACGCAGTGACAGATTCTGGCTCAAGTGAATTGTGGCATTCTCGGTTAGGACACCCGTCTGTGCAAGTTTTACGTTTGCTTGGTTATTCGAATAAAACTTTGTTACATAATGTTCAGAATAAAACGTGTGATGCTTGTGTGCGGGGCAAACAAACACGTGACAAGTTTGATATTAGTTATACTCGTGCTGTTGAACCTTTTGAATTAATACATTGCGATATTTGGGGTCCATATCGTATTCAATCTTCATGTGGTGCACAATATTTTTTTACTATAGTAGATGATTTTTCAAGAGCTGTTTGGGTGCATCTAATGCGGGACAAAAGTGAGGTCAAAACTATTCTGAAACAATTTTTGGCTATGACTAGTCGCCAATTTAACAAAGATGTGAAAGTTGTTAGAAGCGATAATGGTAAGGAGTTTGTTGCTCTCCACGAATATTTTGACAAATGGAATAATTTTTCAAACGTCATGTGTGTACACACCTCAACAAAATGGCCGGGTAGAGCGGAAGCATAGGCATATTTTGGAAATTGCGAGAACTATCCGCTTCCACGCTAACTTACCTATAGAATTTTGGGGGGAGTGTGTCTTGACAGCAGGGTATTTGATCAACAGATTGCCATCGCCGGTTATAGATAATAAAAGTCCCTATGAACTACTGTACAACAAACCACCGTTGTATAGTCAACTTAGGGTCTTTGGGTGTTTATGCTATGCACGTGAGACACAGAAGATCGGAGACAAGTTTGCACCACGAGGGGTTAGATGTGTATTTTTGGGGTATGCTTACTCCCAAAAGGGTTGGAAAGTGTATGATCTCCAAGGTCAACGACATTTTATTTCACGAGATGTTAAATTTATTGAAAATACTTTTCCATTTCGAGTGGAGAATAGCACCTTGGATACTCACGTAAATGTTGACGTGAATTCACATGCACTGGAAAATGGACTATATGTGGGTAATGATGAGGATTCACTAGACACCTACAATGGAATGAACACGTCTACGAGGAATGTTGTGCCAGACATCAATGAAACTCATGCTGAGTCAGCAGAGAGCTCTCCTCCTTTGACTGTAGCGACAGATGGCTCTCATGCCACCAGCTTGGAGGCCCACACTCCGGACGGCTCACATCATGCACTAGACGAAGGTCAGCCAAGACGTGGGACACGACCACGTACAGCTCCAGCATGGCACCAGGACTACGAAGTACAGATGAACACAGTTAAAATAAATTCTCCCCTCGTCGGCACCACCACTTCATCGGCTGATTCAGGTACTCCTTATCCCATATCTCATTGTATAAAATATAACCAGTTTTCGGTTCCACACTGAGCTTTTCTTGCAGCTATTTCTATGTCTAAGGAACCTGCTAGTTTTGGAGAAGCTGTCTGTGACCCACAGTGGAGGGCAGCGATGAGCCGGGAAATTGATGCTTTGGAGCGCACTGGTACATGGCGAGTTCAGGATTTGCCGGTCGGGAAGAAGGCTATTTTTTGCAAATGGATTTACAAGATAAAATACAAGAGTGATGGATCGGTAGAACGCTATAAGGCACAGCTGGTTGTCTGTGGGAACAGGCAGGTGCAGGGAATTGACTACAGTGAGACTTTCGCTCCGGTTGCTAAAATGGTCACGGTTTGTACCATTTTGGCGGTAGCAGCCTCCTGTCATTGGGAATTACACCAAATGGACGTGGATAATGCGTTCCTACACGGGGATCTTCGTGAAGAAGTCTATATGCACCCTCCGCCGGGCTATTCCACTGCCTCTCCTGGCAAGGTATGTCGGTTGCTTAGATCCCTTTACGGGCTCAGACAGGCTCCGCGGTGCTGGTTTTCCAAACTTACTGCCTCTTTGAGGGAATATGGATTTGTTCAATCCCACACCGACTATTCCTTGTTCACCATGCGCAAGGATAGTCGGATATTATGTGTACTAATTTATGTTGATGATTTACTAATCACCGGCAATGACCGAACTATGATTGAGCATTTTAAGAAATATCTTGATGCATCCTTCCCAATTAAAGATTTGGGTGTCATGAAATATTTTTTTGGGAATTGAAGTTGCTCGCAATCCCACCGGCATCTTCCTATGTCAGCGAAAATATGTGCTTGATATTTTATCTGAAACAGGGCTCTCAGGATCCAAGCCGGTATCTTTTCCTATGGTTTAGAATCATCGGTTGCAGTCCGATTCTGGACCATATTATTCTGACCCAGAACGTTATCGTCGGCTTATTGGGAAGCTTATTTATCTGACCTTGACTAGGCCAGACATTAGTTACTCAGTTCACATCCTTTCTCAATTTATGCAACAGCCCAGAGTAGCTCACTGGGAAGCTGTGCTACGTGTCTTGCGATACTTGAAAGGGAGACCTGGTCAAGGAATTTTATTGCGATCACACTCTTCTCTTTCCCTCACCGGTTATTGTGATGCTGATTGGGCGAGTTGTCCGGTCACTCGTCGTTCTGTTACAGGTTATTTTGTCTCTCTCGGATTTTCTCCTGTGTCCTGGCGTACCAAAAAGCAAGCAACAGTATCTCGTTCTTCCGCAGAGGCTGAATACAGGGCTATGGCTTCGTTGACCTGTGAGCTTATTTGGTTACGCAATCTACTTCGGTCATTGGGTGTAACTTCTTCTGGACCCGTACGGCTACATTGTGATAATCAAGACGCTCTACATATAGCTTCCAATCCGGTTTATCATGAGCGCACCAAGCATATAGAACTCGATTGTCACTTTATTCGTGATCATATTCAAGCTGGTACAATCACTCCTTCATACACACCCACCACTGAACAACCTGCGGACTTGCTCACTAAGGCCCTCGGAGCTCAACAATTCTCGTATCTACTTGGCAAGATGGGCATTTGTGATCCCCATGCTCCATCTTGAGGGGGGGGGGGGGGGTGTTGGAAATTATCGTATATTAAATTATGTAACATTTATTTTCTTGTACAAAGTTTGTACGTACTAGCTTAGGTTCCATATAAGGATAGGATTTGTGTCATTATTATCTTCCTTATTTTGTTGCGAGTGGGTAGCGTATGCAGCTCCTTTTTTGTTGTATGTCAATTGTATATAAGCAGGCATCTCGTTCATGATGACCATGCGTGAATAAAGTTATTATTTTCTCAAATTTGTTTCCAATTTAACAATTTTGGAAAATCTTTTATTTATTTATTTTGGGAATATTGCGATGAGAATCGAATATTCATTTGCCCATTTCACACACACCCAAGCATGACCGTGAGAGTGGAGGGTCCAGGGGCTCTTACTTTGAATTATTATGTTAGTGTCGGTAGGCGATTTCGGACCACGAGAGTGCCCAAGACCGGTTATTGACCAATCCTACGACCACGAGAGTGGCAGATGAGCCGTTGTGCATTCTATTTCTTGTAATAAAGTTCTAATACTATTTTGTTCGACTTTCAATTGTAATATGAGTTCCAAACACACACCCAACACTCCTTTGCATATTAATTTCGTAGTTTAGCTTCTTTTACTTCAATGTTGGTCATGTTTGTATTATAGTTTCGTTTGCTCCTTTCTAGTGACACATTTGCCTATTCGATCATTGTACTCACACGTCATTTATGTGGTTTGACAAATCTTGTCCCACTTATCACTATACATTTTCCTTTCCTCGCAGTGTCATTTACACTTCATTTTCTTTCTTTTTGATTAACTTGGGATTTGCATGCAACGACCTATGTTTCTCATATTACTGGTGGATCCTGATGTCATCAGTTATCAACTTGGCTTTTGTAATCCAAGTTGTTATGTGCAAAGCCTTTGGTGATGAGGCAGTAAAGTTTTACAATTCTTGGGGGCTAATCCTATCTAAGTGATACGTGAGTTCGGCATTAACAATGAGTCAATGACTGCTTGTATATAAATGAGCTCATTAGGCTGCACTACTAAGCATGTACATATAAGATATAAAATCACTTTGAATGGGACGTGCATTATATTTATGATGTTATTTAAATAAAGATTTTATTTTTCTCAACGCAAAAAAAAAACATTTGAAACCAACAAATGTTACGCCTTTTGGCGTTTGGGCTATAGGTCCGAAAACATCAATTTTCTAGCATTTTTAATTGTACAATTTTATTTTATTCAATTTTAGTCAATCATATCTATGACGACACTAATCATTAGATTTTGTCTCATTATCGTCGATTTTAGTGCATCCGTTATATCTGTTGCAAATGAAATATCATATATAGAGTATATCATTTACATCAATATCATTTACGTCCCATTGCATTATTGGAAATATACAGAGTAATTGATTAAAATTTCAAAATTATTGACGTTTCAATTCAATCTTTGTCTAGAATATTTACCTTTTCAAAGGTACATAAGTTCTCTTTTGAAGTCTCTTTATTATTAATGTTTTCACTCATGCCAATATTTTCAAAATGTTCATTTTCTTCTTTAGAAGGATGAATTCTTTGACATCACAAAATATATCTTGTTTAGCCAATTTTCTTGATTTTACATCGTTTAAAACAAGTGGTCTACGACATTTGTTATGTATTATAGACTCATGTACAAGAGTTCTTTCACTACTTGACGAGCACTTTGTCACGGTGCGTCAAAATAAATCGATACTAACACTTATACGTAGCATAAGTGAAGTAAAGTTCGTATGCACAAGGAAAGGAATAATTATCTTTTTAATAAGACAAACAAATAAAAGGGGGGTTTTGGGGTTGAGTGTTTTAATTTAATTAAGTACGAAGATGAACGACTTATAAGAGATTTAATTCAAGAATAAAAAGGATTTGGTCTTACTACTTTCCACTTGTTGATATATTTTAGACGATCATTGTTATATCTATAACTTATCCCCTCTCGAATACTCAACCGAGAAGTATCTCCAATTCATCGAGGGTAGTCATTAACAACGACCGTTCATTAATAACTCTGACTATTAATCAAATATAGAACAACGCCGTATACCGATTTAATAGTAGCATTTAATCTCTTAAACTCCTTGATGAAATCAATTGAGATTGATAACCTCAACACAACGGTTTCGGTTTAACCAACAAAATTAATCCCTCTTAAGTTTATTAACCACGACCGTGCATTAATAAACCGAAGTTGCTTACTTGTGAAACCATCAACGATTAACCATCGGTTCGTTGATCGTTTCTAGTAATAATTAATATCGGAACGTTAACTAATTGTCACTTAGCAACCCTCCAACATTAATATAGAATGAGATTAAGGGAAGAATTAATAATCAAGAGAAGAAGTTAAGAAAATAACTCACAACTTTAATAATCAACAAGCTTCAAGAGCAACACCAAGAAATGGAAGTTTAGCTCCTCATTTAGAGACTAAACATGCTAGAAAAATATAAAGAAATGCTATTCTAAACTGGGCTTAGAAGTGTAAAGGAATTGGTATCTAATTGTGAAGGAAAGGGGGTGTATTTATATGCTTTTGGATCAGCAGCTCGTGTACCTGATCAAGTACACATAGGATACCCGATCGGTTATTTGTAGAATGATGAATTCGAGCTATACTCGACCGACTTCAAGATAAAAATTAAAGGCATACCCGATCGAGTGTGTCGGTGTACCCGATCGGGTATGACAACTGATCGTGACCAAATCTTCCCCTGCACGTCCCTTTGTTTCCTGATTGAAAATCAAGTTGGTTCCCGATCGAGTACATGGTATACTCGACCGGGTACAGGTCAAAAATCAGGAATTTGCCTTCTTTTTGTCTTGTACTCTTGCACCTTCCTTCACCAATGATCATTTGATTGATCTTGGACCTGTTTAAGCTCAGAATGAACCTAATCTAAACGAATTACAAATATCACACAAACATAACTATTACACCAAAAGTGTGTAATTTCTAAAGTATCAAACACAAAAACTAACTAAAAACACAAACATACAAACGGAAATTACATGTGTATCACTACTTTATGCAGCAAGTTCTATTTGAGTATGTAGGAGTTTTCTTACGTGAAATACGTGACCTTGTCGCTTTCTTTGAGTATATGAAAGTGTCACACAATGTGTTTGCAACCTTTCGTACATGAATTATGTTTTAAATTTAAATTTCTTGTTATATGCATGAATCGATATATGATTAAATATGTTGCATTCTAGGTAATATCTTTTGCACATGGGTCCATTTTTATTGTATCCCCTAGGATTAAGAATACTATCTCATTAAAATAACAATCAAGAAAATATGTTGTCAATAAATCACCAATATTTTTGGGCTGGGCACGGTCCGGTCTGGCCCGATATTTTGTCAAACTCGTACCCGTACCGTGACTGTAGAAACATTTTGGTTCGGTTCGGTCTTCGAAATAAACCCATTCGATCCGGTTCCATTTTCAAACGGGATGGTACATACCATGTCATACCAATGCCAAACAATGCCACTTTTTCCAAATGTTTAAGAAAAAAATAAAGTTTAGTCATCCTCCAAAAATCCACACAATTTATCAATTTTAATATTTCATACTACCTCCATCCCAAATTCATTTGCATATTAAACATTTTTGGTCAAACAGTTTTTATTCACTTAATTAGGATATCACCTTTTATTTATATTCTAATTCGGCCTTTCAAAAAAATGTATATTCTGATTTGGATTTTGCAACTTTACAGAGACTTTAATGTGGTTTCTAAATAAAAGCAATACTATAATTATTAAAAGAATTATTAATTATCAATAGGAAGGACTTTACATTAACATTGGTTGACAAAAAAAACTTCACTTTGCAAATCAATTTGGGACAGATGGAGTAATTGATAAATTTCAGATAAACTATATATAATAGTACAAATTTAAATAATTTAATCATACTTCGGTCCGGTTTGATCCAGTACCGGTTCTAATTTTATGAGAACCCGTCATGGCATTGTTTAGAACCGGTCCGGTCCGATCTAGGACAACAAAAATTGAGATCCGTTTCAAACCTCATTTATCGATCCGGTACCATACCGGTCCGGTTCGGTACCATGCCAGCTCGGTATTTTTGCCCAACCCTACGTTGTTTATAATTGCGAGAAATTCAAAACCAACATAAATTCTGAGTTTTCTTTGCATACACCCATTTCTCTATCTCTACAACATTGTAAGAGGGAATATTGTCAGAGGTGAAATGGTAATAAAAAATGTTGATGTCTTTTGATGCATAATCTCATTATACTTTATGTTTACTTTGTTGTACATCCTTAACCTCCTGGTTGCTTCCATTGCTAACGGACATGTTGAACGTTATATCCTTACAGAAGTTTATTTCGGTCTGTTGTTCCATTCACAACAAAGTCCTCAACACTTTTATTTATATCCTTACTTTATGTCGGTCATTGAAACCGATTTCCCTTTCAACTCCTCTTTTCTGTTTCAGCGCTCAATCAATTCTCGAGTCTCGACTCCATAGTATGGGGTCAATTATAAATAATCTGTTACAGGTCTTGAGACAGTTTTTCACTTCATCCCTGTTGTACTCTTGTAATTTTTCTACTCAACAAATTTATACTGTATCATTACTTTAGCATTACTCTCCTCAACATGTCTATTTCAATTCACTTCTCTCACTACAAAAAACATCGAGATAGGTATGGACTTGGCATGGATGGGTCGAGTTTTGCACGGATTGCAACTTGTTTTTAGCACAACGCCGTGCCAAATAGCTGGTGACAAAACGACATTGGCACAGAATTTGGCACGGATTTAACGCATCCACGCCAAATCCGTGTCAAGTACACAATGAATTTTGCCAAATCCGTGTCAAATCCATGCCAAAATATTTGTTTTTTAGTAGTGTCTATTTACACGCACATTGTTATAATTAGTTCCCTAGCCACCAATGTTTAAGCAAGGATGTTTGCGAAAATCTTGGGTTAATATGCACTTTAGTTGCTTCTTTTTTGCTCCTTGCTTTCTAATATGATCAGTTTATGTATGCACTTTATTTGATTTCTTTGGTTGTTGATTTGCTTACTTTTTAGTATGATCAGGCCGGCTTTCCTCTAGGCTAGCTTTATTATGGTGTTCGACATATTTTAGTTGTATCCCTCAATCGGTTAGAAACAAAGGAACGAAACATACTCCACTGGTTGCTATGATAAACAGATAAAGTGATGTGTGAAGAGCAACATATATTTAATTTAACATTGAAAACTAAAAGAGGATCCTCTTCTCTTTCAAAAACTACATTATTTTCCTGGACACGATAAGTAAAAACCTACCCTTTTGAGTGAATGAAGGAACCACATAGTAACATATATTTTTGTGATTTGGTGTGTATTGGATAAATGTACTTTTTCTCTAATAATATCTACATGTGGAACTTATAGGCACTAATATCACAAAAATCTCAAAAAATAATCGTATTAATTTTAATATCTTTTAAAATGATACGATTACAGTGAACAAATAATCTACAAACTTTCAGTGTTTGTCTGGTTGTTAATGTAAACAGTTTGATTGTTTAGAAATTGTTAAAAAAATATTATTAGCTGTGTATTAGTTTATAGCTTATTATATATCATTTT